CTATCTGGCTTAGTAATAGTGAGCCGAGAAAACGCAGGTTTATCTTGCTTCGTATGATTGGTAATTTATTTAGCTTAACATGAATTGTTTTCATTCAAAAGACTCCCTTATCCCTTCCTCTCCTTTCCATCAGCGGACCACCCGTGCCGGACTGCGTTGCCACAGTTGGACGGTCAGTTGAATACCGTCCCGCACAAAAAAGTTTGGCAATTCGTTTTTATGCCGAACCATCAAATTGTGGAACCAACTCCCGGCGCATGTATTCCCTCCCCTCTATAACATCGGGTCCTTCAAACGTAGTGTGAAGAAGCATTTGGCCAGACCGGCAAAATGATAGTGACGGAGTGAAGATATTTGTGTTTTCCATCCGTTACACTCATCGCTGGACTGTATTCGCACTTTCCATCAGGCGCGGTGCAGTCATTTTGCCGAGTCACAATAAAAAAAATAAAATAAAAAGAAATTCAAGTTTAAATATAATACATGGGTGAATATTTGAAGATGTACATATTACGCGGCGATCAGTAAAGAACCATTTAAAAAGTTCTAAATTAAACTAATTATATTTTTTCTGCAACAAGTGGGTGTTGTACTATTGTGGCCAATACATAACATTTATGTATTTTAATTATAAGTATGCAAAATAAATTCAAACGATCGCTAAATCTCATTACCATTCATGTCCCAAATCCCAATTTTAAACAGTCAAACGTAAAAATATTTAACTTTTATGCTGAAGATCGTAATTTTTTGCTGTTATTTGTGTAAAATAATTGTGTGTACAGTATACTCCGAAATTACACTACTGAAAGAACATTTTTAAGTCCTTTGTGATAGCATTAAAAATTGTCCCAAGGATCCCCACTCACTACCATTTTTAAAATTGAACGTAAGATAAAAGAATATTAACCGCCATATTTGGCGGCTAGCTGTCAAAGCAGCGCCTTGGTCTCAGTTCGTGCGAACTAGCCGCGCCAGCCACACGTCCGCTCAGAAATTCGGTTACGAAATATTTCGCAAAGTTTAGGTAAAAAGTGTCTTTTGTCAAAAAAAAAACTCCACACCATTCGACGTTCTACAGGTATGTATGTTTACAGTTTTTATTATATAAACGGACTAAATGGTGTATTATTAAGTCGTTTTTGGCTTGATGCACTTTTATTATACATAGTTCCCTTAATAATAAATATGGGGCGGAAAATAGTCAATATCTCATTACCATTTTCATAATTACCATTTTTTACCATTCGATTTTGACAAACGGTAGTGAGAAATTTCAAATGGGAATGAGTAATTGTACCAAGTTTTTTATTTTAAGCTTAGCAATTAAAAGCAGACCACTCACTAAAATATGAAAAAGTATAAAATCTGATAAAGTGTAAAAGTGAGTGGTCTATTTTTAATTACTAAACGAAACTATACCCTAAATACTAAACTATATATCTAAATAAGTGTATAAGTTTAAATTATAATAAATTCTAAGTCTAAATCACATACTCGTATATACGGAGAAAAAACCATTGATCACGTAATTACTATGCGAAACTTAATACTATAGATACTAAATTATATATCTAAATTATAATAATCTCTATGTCTAAATTACATATATGAAAAAAATATGAGAAAAAACATTGATCACGTAATTATGTCTTTCAGATAGATGGATCATGCCTCGTAAAAAAAATAAGCTAAGTAAGGAAGAAATACTGGAGAAAGCAAAAACAGCACGTAGGATTAGATATGCCAAAATTAAAGCCGATCCTATGTTGTATGCTTTGGAAAAAGAAAAGGAAAGGCAAAGATACAAAGCGCGTAAAGAGCAGAAAAAAATTTTGCCTATAGGAGAATTAACCCCTAAAGCAAAAAGAGTTCAAAGACAAAAATGGAGAGAAAATTTTAAAAAGCATTATGAAAAAAAGAAGATGGAGAAAAAGGAAGTTCAACATATGAATGACAACACACCGGAAATTAGTGATGAAGAGGATCAACCTAGAGAAGATCATGTACTCAACAGATATAATGAAAATTGCCAGAATGATCCACAGCCACCGACTTTATTGAGCCATAAAGAGAAAATGGTTCAATTGAGGGAAAAAATAAGAAAATTGAAATACACGTTAAAAAAACAAACCCATAAATACAAACAAGAAACAGCATTACTGAAACAAAAGAATGAGGCGTACAGAAAAATGATTTTAAGACTGAAAAAACGATTGCAGAGTCCAAATACCAAAGCTAAGATATTGTTAAAAGATAAAACAAGGGCAGAGGAAGCTAAGAAGAAAATTCTGTTTGCAGAAGCTATGAAAGAAACATTAGAATTGAATTACAAGGAGAATACTACGAAAAAAGGTAAGAGACATTTTAGTGACACTCTTCTTAGCAATCAGAAGATTATGAAAAAGTATAAAGTACTATCTGATACCACAAATTTTCGACTCAGACCAAAGAACGTCAATAAAAATGACCAAAAACAAAATTTCGAAAAAATAAAAATGGACTTACAATGTTTTTTTG